TAAAAGTTTACATTTCCAACCAACAACAGGAAATAATCTTTTTAAATAAAGCTGAAAAGCTAACAGCTAGATAATAATACTGTGTTCAGTGCTAATGTTGGTATTTTAGCTAGCTAACATGCTAAACAGAGACTTACTGAGCTGTGAAAGTTTCAATAAACAGCAGCTGATGAACAGAATTCAGGGAAACCTCTGTCACTAATTTCACTGTTTCACGTCCATTTCAAAAGTTTACATTTAAAGCCCCAAAAGGTTGATTCTGTTCATCTGGACGTTTTCAGTGGGAGAAACGTTTCGTCATCATCAGGTGACTCCTTCAGTCTCAGCTGACTGCAGGTTTCTACCTTATAAACAAGACATTTGCATAATGACTGAAACCAGCACCACTGAATGAACACTGGGCTGGGAGGCCAGTTCCTGGATCATTAAACCAACCAAACCATTACATTTAAAAAAAACAAAACAACAGGAAGTGATATTTTTTAGTAAAGCTAAAAAGCTACAAAAAAACCTAACAGCTAGCTAATGATACTGTGTTCATGCTTATTTACTATTTTTTAGTAAATTTACAAACCCTCCGTATCAAAAAAAAAAGGGAAGACACGTAGATGCAATAAGCTGCCCCCCCACAGGCTTCCAGAAACGGCTAATCAGATGAAAGTGGTCGTTTAGGGAGGGGGGCCTTAAAGAGACAGGCACCAAAACTCAGCTGCAAGTAGAATAAAAACCACAGCAATGAACAGTGACCACTTGTGACCAGAGGGGGCGCTAAAATCGTCGCTACAAAGAAATATTTTCACATCCAAATGTCTGAATTTACTTTTGTACTTTTATGGTTTCGTGTGGATCGTTTCCACTCAGTGTATGAATGTGTTTTATTATCCAGCGATAGTTTTTAAGGTCACACTGATGTTTTAATTTTTTAATAGCACATTTATTTTATGGTTTAATTAAATAACAGTTTTCAGCATGTACTGAGCAGCACAGTGTAATAACTGCTTCCTGTCTATAACCACAACACGTCTTTGCTGTTCTCAGGTGAACGTCCACACTGACCTGTAAAATCATTTGTTTGTACAAAAAGTCACAGGAACACTTTTGTGGCATATCGACAGAGTGTAATTATCTCTTCTTCTGATGGTAGAACAGTATTTAAGTATTTTTAATGTACATGTGATTTAGGAAATCCTTTCAATCTCGGAGCAACAGGAGCAAACTTGTTATTTCACTGAGTTACTGAGACCGTCTGTAAGCTGATATTTCCTCCCACACACGACCTCTGCAGCAGCTGTGCTGCTCTCACTCTCATTTATGTGATTAAACTCTTTGTACTTCTCTAATATTGTACTTTCATCTTCCTTTGTGAAGCGAGCCACTCTCCCAGTGCTCGTTTATGATCCAGTTGTGCCAAACGTCTATTTAACTGGCATCACGTTCAAATGAGGCTCCTCCTCTGCATCTTTGGTGGGAGAGACGAGGACACAAGGAGAGGAGTCAAGTACACAAAAGGCATGACATGCATCTTGTCCCATCTGTTTTCACACTCTACTGGACTGCCTACCAGTTAAATAGTGCTTACCTGGTACACTAATCAAGTGCGGCTGACTCGCTGCTCGTTTAACACACTCAGATGTTTTTGTCTTAAAGAAACGTTTGCAGTGCAAAGACGACGTGAAGCCAGTGAAGCAGAGTTTTTTCTCCAAATAGAAATGCTCTTTATTGTAACTCCTGGTTAATCACTCACGTCACCATTCATCTGTTACAGCAGCTGCATCCACAGAAGAAAACAACAGCAACTAGCATGAAGTCATTCAGTGGTTCAGTATGTACAGCAGCAGGGCAGCTGCTCGTCAACGAGTCTGACCTCTGACCTCTGGGCTCGTATTTCTCAAACTGCCGGAGGTACAATTCCCAACACGCGTCTGACTCTCATTATGAGTCCAAAGAAAAACAAGGATAAAAATATGTTAAATAGTTTTTTGGGTTACTGTAATTCTTCAGGTCGTTCTGCTCGCCGTGAGGTGAGAAACACGAGTCCAAAGAAGAGAAACTCAAACCCGTAACTGCCAGCGTGTTTCAAAGAAAGCTAGAATAACATATGACATCATCATCCTGACATCACGCACGCAGCAGGTGAACGAGCAGAGGCGCTGACGGGCGCTGAAGCCGCCCTGCGAGTCTAAAGAACTCAAGAAAAACAGAAAAAACACTTCAATGTACAAAAAAGAAAAACATGGAACAATCATGTGTCGTCACAGCAATCACTTCCTGTTTCTAACTACACAAACCAATCAGAGCGCGTCTGGGTGAACGGCGTCAGAATCATCCAGACAAAAGAAAAGTTAAAGAAAGAAAAGAGGAAATCATAAAGTGACCGATGCTCGCTCTGACACGTCTCACTTCTCCATCTGTTTTATCCTCAGTCTTTTATTTTATTGATCCACAGATACAGGAAGCGGCGAGGCAGACGTGACGGCGGGTGATGCAGGAAGTGCCGGTGGTGATTTCTTTTTAAAACTGATGCAGTGAGAGTGATCTGAGCTTAAACCTCACGCAGGGCGGAGCTACTGAACTCGGACTTGAAGGAACGAACGAGCTGAGACGCGAACGCCTCGTTTTTACATGCTTAGAATTATTATTATTATTATTGTTACTTTATTAAAGGAAGAAGGCCTTAAAGCTTTAAGAATAAAAGACTGTTTTGCAAAAATTAGTCAGAAACCTCCAGAGCCCAGCGAGCTCAGTTCAAACTATGTGAAACTGAAGATCAGTAAAAAGACTCTGATGGACGCTAACAGCAAACGAGCAGCAGCTTCATAAAGTCCTGATTTAATGACGAGCTCGTGTTGCTGATGTGAACGAGCTGCAATCACAAGTTTTCCAACAACAAAAATCAAACCCGTCCGAGTCTCAGGTGGCGGCTCTCAGCGGACACGGGTGGAGGGGACCTGATGCACCTGTAGGCAAGCGTGAAGCTCCCGAGTTATCACCGGGTCTATGTTCCAACGCCCACCCGTGACCGCATCGAGGCACTGTCTAACCACGCCCACCTCTGCTCATTGGACGTCCTGCTCTGAAGTCTGACCCTCGGGCCTCTGGCGCTCTAAGCTGTGAAACAAACACAAATCAACTTTTCTTCAATGCAAAAACACGTGACAACAGGAATGATCCGACTTTACGTTCCCCCCAAACTGCAGGAAGTTCAGGACCTGTCTCTGAGACAGCTGAAGGTAAAGAGCTCTGCTCCTGCGCTCACCTTTACCTGACCAGGTGGGCCAAAGCACAGCAGCAGATTTATGAAGTGGATGTTTATAACTTCACCAGATAACAGGCCACTGACCCTTTTCCATTTTTCACTCGTGTCTGTGACTCTGTTGCTCATACCGAGGCTGCAGCTAGCCCTGAGCTCTGGATAGCTTTTAGCTTTAGCCACTTTTCTTCTGTTAGCTTCCTGAAATGTTTCAGTCTCATTGGGTTTGTTGTTGGAACATTATTGTGACTGACTTTGGTGAACTTTGCGTCCTCACTCCTTCCATGCTAAAAACGCAGCATGTAGTCCGTATTGGTGTGCGTCCATGTTTTTGTCTGTCCGGCCGGTCAGCGGCTGGCACGCTGTGCTGGCACACAGCGACAGGGATGCTGCGTTTGGTCTCTGAGTTGTGGTTTAAGACAGAGTCATCGCCATCGTACGTAGTCATCGTACGAATCCAGAAACACGTTTGATTTTTATTTGTTGCAGAACTTTGTGATTGCACCTCGTGGAGGGAGGAAATCCCCTCTCCTTTTCAGACCTGCTGGCCTTGATTTACCAACACATTAAAAATGATTTGTATACCACCGTTACGTCCGGTCCTGAGTCCAGCCCGCGCGGGTTTAACCACCTACAGCTGTGAAACATGCTGATATTCAGTGCAGCTGGTGGATGTTTCATTACATATATTTAACAAAGAGTGATGATGTCACACGTACGGAAGAGCTGAACTCGCCCGCCGTGTTCTCGTCAACATTCAGGATCTATTATTTCATTTTTAGTTAGACTCCATTAATAACAAACATGCCACTTTCTTTATGTAGGTTAAAAAATAGCTGCACATCATTTGGTCACTAAGCAACACTCGCAGACGCTGATTGGAGGAACCAGAGCCGTCAGAGCTCAGCCTGCACTGCAAACATCTCTCAGAAGTGTGTGTGTGTGTGTGTGTGTGTGTGTACCTGTTTAGACATCTTTGTGAGGACAAAACCAGCATGTAACTATCCTTGTGGAGATCAACAGCCTTTATGGGGACAAAGTGCCCGTCCCCGAGTTTAAAGGTGGTGTTTAGTGTCAGGGTCACAGTTAGGCATTCATTTCTGATGGTTAGCATTATGTCAATTAGATGTCCTCACTAAGATATGAAAATGTGTGTGTGTGTGTGTGTGTGTGTGTGTGTGTGTGTGTG